TGATCTGCTTCATGAAGAATTCTCATTTACCTGAACTTAGTTTGAAGCCATATTTATCAATCTTCTGGAACATTGCCTTGATATGTTTTTTGTGTTGTTCGCTGTTTTCTTTCGCAGGATGTCATCTAGGTACACCATGGCAAAATAGAACAGACTTTTGATGTGAAAGTCCTCTCTATAAACGATACGTTGCAGCTAAATTCGCCCTTGAAGTTTAGCTTTTTACCAGACACCTCTGGTTATGTTTTTGGTACTCCTCAATGATGGACAAACTATTTTCTTCCATGTTTGCCCATTCACAATAGAAATGTCACTTTCAGTATCCAACAATAACTTCACTGTATGACCATTTATTTTTGTATTTACGCATTTCCTTTTTTCACTATTTTCATTATCGTTCTTGGATAAAACATTTACTTTTGATTTAAATTTTTGTTTCTTTCTTTTCTGTTTATAGCAACAGTGGGAGCTTTTGTGACCGATATAGCCACACTTGAAGCAAACCTCATCCTTAAAAAAAAAAAAAAAGTCCTTTTTTAAATGAGACTCCCCACCCCCAGGCATCACACTGGGATGTTTTCATCTTATATTTTGTAAATTTCATTTGTTTTATCACTTGGACTCAAGAAATGATCTTTTCTTCGATCCACATATCGTCTCTTTTTACATCATAATTTGATGGTCTTGTTCCATAATTGTCAGAATCCTTGATCTGATGTCTTTGTCCTTCACCACTGTAAGTCCCTGCACAAAGATTAAACATTTAAATATGCCGACTGTAAGGTCGCCTAATTTAAACAATTCACATTGTGAACTTACATTAACTGCATAAGTCACAAAGTCTTCATTCTCTTGTTTTGCAATGTTTAAACACTTGTAGCGAGTATGGAACAAACTCTTTCATCAAAAATTCCTGACAAAATCTTTATTGTCTCCTTGAACAAGATTTCCTCCAGCTTTTTAGGTAAAAAGTTTAAAGTGTTCTCCTTGGTACCTAATTTTTGGACTAACAATGTAATTTTCTCCTCAGACAATTGTTCGCACCTTTTCGAAAAAATTGTTGTATCTACAAAAATAGGCAGGGTAAGTTATTCCATTGTCCAGGTCATACTTGAATTCTGATAATGAATTTGATATTCCTTCAGAGGAAAAATTGTGTAGCCCTATTCTTCTGTTGTTTTAGATATTATGGTTTCGCACAATAGCTTAGTGTCTTCTGCTTGTTGTTTTCACAATTGTATCAGTTCATCTTGAAAATTTTTTTATGATTTTTCAAATTTTTCTTGTTGCTGCTATTGTTGTAACTGCAAACTAGCATGCAATACTTTAGTCAATTTAGCCAGTTGTTCCATTCTTGTTGTGTAATTTCACTGAGTATTTTCAACGTAAGTTGTTCAAATCTGTAATTACTACTGTTGTACATTTTACAAACAGTGTTTTGGGGTCTTTCTCGCTGTAAGTTTGAATCGAATCTGGCATCACCACTGTTGTATCCTTAGAGAGGTTACAAACAGAGGCAGGTGATACTCAAGTGAAGGAAAAGCAAAATGCATGTAGATGAAAGAAGAAAGGTTTATTGTAAAAGAAAATACACTACTGAAAGACAGGGAATAGGGTGGTAGGCTAGTAATTCCGGAAGCAAGCCCCCAGGTATATTCTGTGCTCACCATATATAGCTACTGATATAGTCAGTCCACATAGGTGATAGGCAATGTGGGACATTCCATTATAACAATAAGTTTTTACTATTTGTAATTATTTGAATGTATCACGCATATTTTCAAGTAATACTGATGTGTTAAATACTTTTCAAATAGTGGCGGCTCGTGTATAGACACTGTGGAACTGCAGTACCTCCTATTTTTACTCTACAACATTCAACATAATGAGTTTTCTTTTCCTTTAATTCTTTATACTTGTACATTATATAACCCTTAAGCTTAATGTCAGTAGCCATACTCTCATTCATGAAAAATTACAAAAATCCTTGTATCTGTGTGCTTCAGTTCCAGTAATACAATGTTTGGCTGTTATGTGCATGCGCACATGTCCAAGGAAAGAAGCTGAACGCTTCTTAAAAGCACTGTCAGTCACGCATTACCAACCCTATTGTCAGAGAGTTTATTTTTTACTCAGCGTGTGTTGTACTTAAAAACCGTGTACCATATTCTTGAATGTGATAACCATAGATGACTATGTTTCCAGCTATTCTATTTAATTCATTGTTTTTTTTTATTGTTTTATTGCATATTTAACCATGATCTCTTTGAATCCCTAACAACTAGTTCTGTGACAGTAAGTAAACTTCAATAGCTTAAGTTTTCAGTTATCTCTCCATGAGAAAGTTATAGTTAAGAAATGAGGCCATTCAACATCTGATATTCAAATATCTTAGCCAGGAATAAGCAACAAGAGGCATATTCGTAACTAATTCTGAATGGTATCAATGGAAATGTTGGCTCTGTGGCTGTAAAGTGAAAAATGTATGGTTTTACTTCCTGTGTTTGCTACTTGGAGATGGAAAAAGACAGTTTTAGAAATATAAACAGAATAAAAGATAAAACTGAAAACCTGAGAAGTCAAAAAAGCATATTGAAAATGTGGTTTCACTGTCACTTTTAGGAAATATTAAGGAGAAATGTAGTGAGAGCCATACAGACTTTCAATCAATGAGCATAACATGAAGGTTAAAAATAAACCATGAAATTTTACCCAAATAGACTATTTTGTGGAAACTTTGAAACCATCTTACGTGGACATGAAAAAAAATGATTCAGTAAATCCAGGGGCGTTTAGAGGATTAATAAATTTTGCATCTAAATTAGATCCAGATTTGAAGAATCACTTAGAAATCAGTACAATTTTCAAAAGGTGTTTCTAAGACCATTCAGGATGAGATACTTACTGCCTGTTACAAACATAACACGAATTGATAAGGACCGAAATTAGAAAAGCTTTATTTGTAGCCATCATGGCTGATGACAACAGATATTTCAGCACACACTCAAATGATCATTGTTCTACTGTATGTGCTGAAGAAATATTTGAGTGTTTTAGAGAATTCTCTATTTCAGAAAAATCAAACTGCAGATGGTATATCAAAACATATTCTAGAACAATTAATCCTTCAAGGAACTGGACAAAAACTGATAACTCAGACATTTAATGATGTAAATGTCATGAAAGACAAAAAAAGGAGGAGTTGAAAAAAAATAAAAGCAGTTTAGTAATGCACATTTCATTTACTGTTATGAACATCAACTTCTTAATTTAATAATGAGAAATGCAGCAAAGATTACACGGAATGCAAGAATAAAAAAAAAGTAAACATCTTCATTATCTGCATGTGCGAAACCGGCAAAAGTCGCGTGATCCACTAATAATGATTTAAAACTGACTGCAAATGAAGTCAGAAATATTTTACATAAATCCAATAAAAAAAAAAAAAAGCAATAGCAGAGTAAACGAGAAAGTAATTGCTTTCATGTCAGATTATCAGTCTTTAACGCTAAGATGTTGTGTGCTGATGACGTCACATTACACTCTTTAAAAGAATAACAACGATTGGTCAATATTAGCTTTAAAAGTCTCCCAAATTGACGGTCGAATCTTACGAAAAAGGCTACATAAAAAAATAAATAAAGAGAGAACCGGCACCAGACAGCTTAACTTTCTAAAATATGCCTAAAAAATGTGCTAGAGATGGACATAAAATTTATGAGAAGTGATTATCAAACAATATGGAGTATTTTATTGAGTAGATCATCAACTGCTCCTTCTCGACAATCTACACTGAATCTTTTTTTATCTTTTATTTCACGAACGATTGATTAGGGTTTTATGATTTTTATCAGTATCACCGACTAAAAATATTTACGGTCATAATTGACACAATGATTACATGCAGCACCATAGTTTGTTGTTTTTTTCATTAGAAGAGAAAACGGCATTTTCCCCTGTAATGCACAATTAATTCAACACTAGTGTTTTTTTTTTTATATTTCTCAATTATTTACACTTTCAGGTTTTTTTGCCACATTTAAAAAAGAAAAAAAAAAAAGAAATGAGATATGCAAGTGCGAAGACAGATCTGTAAAAAAAAAAAAAAAAAAAAAACTCTTTTTAAATAAATTTCACTTCATGTTTATTAAAATTTTTAGTATTCATTTCATTTCCAAATAAAAATGTTGACCAATTTTTATTTGGACAGTAAAATGAGAAATTTTGCTTTGTTGCTTACTTTTTTAAGAGTGTAATTAAAAAAAAAAAATGCTATTTTGCTAAATAAAAAATACTGCCTTTTCTTTTTATGCTATTATTAAAAATAGAATCCGTCCCTTGGGCCCCGAATTCAATACTGATAAACAAATCCTAAAAGAAATATACATTTTTTAGTCTAGAGACGAAGAATCAACTGGTCGAGTTACTGTTAATCAGAGATTTTTTGTCCGACCTACGCTTTAAAAGTGTAAATAAAAAAGTACTTATTCTTTAAAAAAACAAAATGAAGATAACTTTAATCAGAAATAAAACTTTTTAATTTATCTTGTTAATCTCCTGCAATCTGGGTGTTATCTTTAAAAAGATTTATTTTAAAATAAAGACAAAAAAACGGCAAATTATCGTAGAAGGACTTCTGATTACAGCAGCAGCCATAGAGAAAAATGACTAACAAACGATGATTCAGTTGTAACTGACACGCCTAAACAAAATAATCCATTTTTATTAATACTAACAATTAAAGAAAAATACAAATAAAAAATTACCCTGAAAAGGAGAGTATTTTAACTATGGTTAATTTGGAATCTAAAGTTAAAAAGTTGATTTAGAGACTAACTAACATCACCAAATATTTGACGAGTGTCTGTCATGAGCCGTCAGCTAAAAAAGGGAGAATTTCACAGCAGTCGGGTGGAATACGGATATTTAGAAAAGGAAAACGTGAGAGTGACACTAATTAAATAAATTAAAATATGTTCACCATCAATTGAAATACTTACGTTGTCAATGACAACTGGCTGGTTTGCAATAACATCGTACGATTCCATCGAGAGTATCGGTAATTTTTACCACATCTACAACTCACTTCTCTACCAATGGAACCGCTACGCTTTCTGGGAAGGTCCGAGACACTAAGCAGCTGTATTCAATTTTCAGTAAAAGAAACTTATGAATACAGCATAATAAAATAATTTATTATTTATTAAAGTAAATAATTACTAAAAGAGTTTAAAATAAATTAAGAATTATATTCCGGATATTTCTAAATTATTTTCCTCTTAATTATAATAAACGTCATCTGACGGCTAGACGTAGTAACAAGAGAAGATAACCCTAAATGCTTGGCTGTTCGCTTAAAGAAAATCTAATTTGAAAATTATTTTGTAATTTCAGTATAAAACATCGGCCAATTATTAGTTAACTGGCTGAAATTGCTCATTCCTACAAAGCATAAACTCAACCTTGATATGGAGTGAAACGAAACGAGCGAAGAAGAATTTCATGCAATTTTTATATTTTCTAAATTAAAATTTATAACGTAAGAAAAAAAACCAAAAAATAAAATTTACTAAAAAAACATATTCCATCCTCTCAGCAACAAAAAAAATTGGTAAATAATCGTAAAACATTGAAATAAATGTAAATTACAAATTTTATCGAATTTAATTCTTATTAACTAAACAAAAAAATAATGAGAGATTCTTAAAAACAGTTCATTCATACAAAAACATCACAAGTCTTAATTTTGGCAAAAAAAAAAAGAGTAAATATTAAGAAGTCAACTCAGAACCAAGTTTTTCAAATTCTTTTATTTACTTCCCAGTGATTTTATAATCTTATATTCTATCAGCTACTTTTTCTATTTTTTACCAAGTAGTATGGTGATTTTTCTACATAGAAACAAAAACTATCTCTAAGAACAATAAAAAACTATCTCTAAGCATACAATAAAAAATGAGTAATGAGAACAGAATTTATTTACAGTAATTGATGAGAAAAGAAGAGTGTAAAGGCTTGCTCAAAATATTCTTTTAAGCACCTAATAAAAATTAAGCTAAAAGCAAAAAAATATTTATAAAAAAAGAGGTGTTTTAACATTAGTTGCTAAAGTTAAAAATAGTTCTTGGTAAAGGAAAACAGTTAATGAGGTGCTGTTAATGTTCTGACCTGTCTGTAGTTGATAAGTCAAAGTAGTAGTGGAACTGTTTTTTGTTGAATGAAAAGTGCCAATAGAAAGTCATGACAAACTTATTGAAGTTGGTGTGGAATCTTCCACGTCTGCCAGTCACCCTTGCGAGGAAAATGTACTCTTCCCCTGTAGTAAGTATCATCACATACATACAAATCATGCGACAAGCATTCATTGGTTAATCTCCTCAAAACTAGCTTGCTGATTGGTTAGTTCTGACCAATCAAACCACCTGTATGCGACAAATCTGTTTTCCCAGGTTTTCAATTGGAGCCAATCATGTGATACCCAGCCTTATAAAAACAAAACACGTGCAAGCTCTCTTGTGTTCTCTTCAGTCTCTCTTGTGTCTCATCCTTGCTGCCAAAATGTAACCTTCAAGAGCGCCTGTCTTAACCATGCGGTCAGACGTTAAAGATCATTACAACACTCACGCAAGTACAGGCAGTCAGAATTTCATCCTGGAGAAATGCCAAACTAATCCATGCCAGTCAAAATCGTAACCAGCTACATTTTTGCCGTGCAAACTTTCTCTGACTCAACACATGAAGCATTTCGCTCTACCAGGAACAACTTCTTACGATACTAAAAAGTGATAATAACTCACTATTAACAAGTATTTGTAAACATTCAATCAAACATCAAAACAACTAAAGGTACACAACTCATACCAGTTTTGGACAATAATTCAAACAAACATGCATATGCACTATGAACTGAACTGCCACAAAAGACATTTTTGTATGTGAACAATCATTTAGTTTAATTTCACACACAAATCTTAATAACAGTTCCATACACATTGAAACTTGACATAAATACTCTACATAATTCAACTCATCCATTCACACTTGTTCAACAACCTTTGATTCATTTGTGCATTTTTATTCTATATAAATCCATGTTATTGTTATATCTTTAACTACGTTGTTTTCGCTTTGATTTATCTTGAATGATTTGTCTTCTATATTCATATTTCTAAATTTGTTGTGGACGAATGTTTCCAACATCATTGACCCAATCAATAAAATAACTTTCTGATGCCTAATACACATTTATCAGACTGCAACATTGGTACAGCTTTGTAAGTTGATAGTGAGTGAGTTGTATTATCAAGGAAAACTTGATGCATTTGTTTCACCTGTCCAAAATTGTCTGATTTAACATGTTACTTGAAATTGTTGCTTGGCCATGTGGTATCTTGGAGTCTAATATCCTCTTCTCATTGCAGTAAATGTTAATTGATCTGCTGACCCTAACCCTGACTCTCAACTCTGATGTGTCATAAATAGTCATTTTGTTGCAGAAAAACACATTTACCCATAGATATAACAAATTAAACCCAAATTTATACAATTATTAGAAAACATATATCTCTAACTACATACCAATTTTCATCTAGCTAAGTCACACATGCCACACTCTATTCAAAATAAATTTAAAAAAAAAAACACAGAATGCTAGCCATTATCAACATGACTCTTGCTTGATATCTACAACTATGTGCATTTCTCTTATATTGGCTATAACAGAAGCCGAACAGAGTAGAGAGAGAGAGAGAGACTTCACACACACACACTAACCATAGAGGCTACCCGAAAGCATGGCTGACTGCCCATCTGACCATTAGGCTGTGAAAATGACTTCTTATGAACACAAAAAGAGAACAATCTCCACTATCAATGTGACAAGCCCAAATCGATAGCCAACAAACAGTCAGCCGGATTAAGCATACTCATTTTTCACACTCTCATTTCACACCTTGTACATCATACATTTGAATGCTACACTATGGTACTTACCAGAGGCATTTTCATATCTTGTAAATAAAAATAAATCTTTGGTCATTTCTCCAAACCAGTGTCTAATGTGTTTCTTTACTCCAACCAACTTCCACTTTGGATCAATTTAACTGGCCAATGACTGCTTATATTTGTGTTGACAAGTTCAGGAAGCAATCTTTTCAAATTATTGTGGGTTTCAAATTTCATTCTTCTGATTGATTGAAAATAGTCCAGAATATGAGTTCTTTCCTTTTTTTTCCAGAACATTCTTTTTTTATTACCTAAGCCAGACATAATACTGCCATGATCAAAATTAGAAACAAGGTTTATCCATGAAAGTCCCATCCAAACAACTCATAATGTTCATAATGTTTTCACTCTTAGTAATTTTTTCTTTCACATAAATTTTTCTAGTAACTCTCATAATAATATGACAAAAGTGCACAAAAGAAAATACAAATGTTGATTATAGCTGTTAGCCTTTTCCATTTCTGAATAAAAGCAAGTGCTTTAAAATTAATCCAGTTTATGACATTTAAAAAGTTAACTCTTAGAACTTTAATAGGTGAAAGTCATAGAAATTGACAAGATTATAATTTAGTCAGGTTTTATGACTTTCACCTATCATTATAATTTTTGTTTGGATTATAGATTTCATTGTCAAGGTTGTCTATAGAGGTAGCAGCTTTTTACAGCTACTATCTGAGCAGGTAAGAAAAGTGATTTGCTCAAATGTTCACTTACTTACTTTCTTATCAACTATTGCAGCATGACAAAGTATTGAGCAATGAGACAGAACAATCAGAAGAACATTACAGTGAACATAAATTGCTTCCGCTCAAATCCAATTTTGTTTTTCATGTTGGTAACCCTAACCCTGCGCTTCTAAAGAAACATGAACACACATACATGCAGTTCATGAGAGTTATGAGCACAGAAAGCAGAATTATGTTTGAATTTCAACTAAAACTGTTCCTTTTCTCTTAACATAAATCCCCCTTAGCTATGAATTAACATAACTACACTTTGTTTAACTACCAGATCTTAAAAGTATAGCTCATTTTTTTCAATATTTTTTAAATCAAACACCACCACTGTTATTAACTGATCATTAAAATTCTTAAAGCAAGTAGAATGAAGTCAGAAATAAATTAAGCAAAACTTGAGCTTACTTTACACTTCTCAGAAGTCTCTCATAGATGTTGTCTTAAATTACTTCAACCACAGATGCAATGATGAGTAAGCATAGCATAAATCTGTTATCATGCTGCCAACCCTTTATTCCTAATTTTCTATTTAATTTTATTATTTATTAATGTTACTTTTGTGGGGAGGGATGCAAGTTCAAGTCTTGTCGAAAGTTACTTATTTCTTTATTTGCATTGTTTGAAGATTTTATCAACCTAAAATAAAGACCGGCTAGGTAAGAATGATGGTATAAGTCTGTTTCACCTATTGTCAACCTTATTATGAGCCAGGTCAGCTCTTTTTGGACATTTGCATACATTTAGTAAAAGATGCATAAGTCATGAAAGCGCTTTATTTAAAAAAAAAATTGGCATGAATAATTTTGAGATTCTTCTTAACACATTTACTTAATGAATCTGCCATTAACATCACTTACTGCATCAATATGAAGCCTGAAACATTCACATATCGAAATCAGATGATCTTTATCTATTTTGGACATTGTACTAGTTATAGCAGGCTTCAGAGATTTTATAGTGTTATGAAGGCATTGAGTGACTCTCCTCTCAACTATGCCCATCCCCAAAGGATTCAGGTTTGAAGAGATGGAAGGCAATATGTTTGAGGGGACATAATCATGGAGATTGTAACTCATTAATTCTTGGGTTGTCTTGGCTTTATGAGATAGCAGAGAGCTTGTACAGTTTTCCTTTGCAGAGATCAGGTGGTTACCTTTTGTCTTTACAGGCATGAATTGGCCTCTCCACATCATATATGACTTGTATCAAAGGTTCTTATACACATTTCTTCCTATAGAATTCCTTAAAACCATGAGCCTCTTAGCAATAGTGTTAATTGACTTTCTGTGGTCCTTATCACTAATTTT